TATTCGTGGCCTGCGAACCCCTGTACCCCTTAGCGTCGTCTCCTCCTGGCTCCCCAGCTTAGCAGCGGGGGTTAGGGGGGACACCAGTGGTTCTGCCTCACTGCTGAGGACACTCACCTGGCCACAGCAGTGTGTCCTCACCCAAGCCGACGGCCACGTCCAGGGAGGCGAGCATGGTCTCAGGGGAGCCCTCAAACAGCCTGCCTGGACCCCCATGCAACAGCCGTCATGGAGGGGGCTGGGGGTCCCCTCAAGCCCTTCCCAGGGTGGCACCCCTCCCCAGTCAGCCAGGTCTGGGGTCAGGAATACTCACCGCAGCCAGCGAGGAAGAGCAGGTCCCCAGAGAAGAGGCAGGGGGGGGCACCAAAGGGGCCCCCATCCAGCACGTACACCATATGGCCCACAGTGTGGCCTGGGGTGGCGAGTGCCTCGAAGGTCAGGCAGCCCACGCTCACCTTCTCCCTGTCCACAAGTGGGCTGCGCCAAGCACAGGGGTGCACCGTCAAGGTACCTTCCCCCCAGCACCCCAAAACACCTCCGTCCTCCTGCAACCCTGCCCTTGGTGCACCGGTGTAATGAGTGTGCCAGATCTCTGCCCATAACGGGGTCAATGTGGTACTGGGGGATGGATGGATGGGTAGGTGGAGCGAAGAGTGACTGGGGATGAAGCCCCCATCCCCCAAATTTGCAGAGGTGCTGGGGGACATGACTTACTTCGTGAGCTCCGAGATGGCATCAAGGGCGCTGCCGTACACCTTGCAGGAGCTGTGCTGCTGGCGGAGCGCTGCATTGCCCCCGCTGTGGTCCCTGCAGACAGAGGGGTCAGTGCCTCCAAATGTATCCCCCACCTCCGTGGGGCAGGGCTGGAGGTCACCTGAGCTGAGGCACCCCCCACGGCAGCCATCACCCCCTCGCTTGCCCCTTACCAGTGTTTGTGAGTGCAGAATATGGCCTCAAGCATCACCCCCTCTTCTTCAATGGCAGCCTGGGAAGGGGAGCAGGGAGGCAACAGAGAAATTTGGGGGGAGAAAGACAGATCCCCAGTACTAGTCTCCCCTAAATCTCCCCTTAGCTCTGCCCAGCTCCTCAGGTGCTGGATGAGCCCCACCACCCCTCCAACTTTGCTCTGGGCACATTAAGGGCAGATTTGCCCCCACTGCTCCCCCAAAAAAGCCTCCCTCACCCAAGAGCACCCAAACACCAGGTCAGAGACTCTTGTGGGGGTCTCACCTCCACAGCCAGAGGGTCGGAGGGGTCGATGACAGCTGCCCGGCCAGAGCCAGTGTCAATGACTAGGTAGCTGTAGTTGTTGGAGAGCACAGGAATGGGCAGTATTTTCACCCCTGGAGGGGAAGGACAGACAGACAGACATCAGGGCATGACCACCTCACCTGGGAAAGGATGGGGTGCCAGGCCAAACCCCCCATTTCCCCACATCTTAAATCAAATTCTCAGTTAAACACACTTTGGGCAGTTTGGTAATGGCAACACCCTCACACCCTGAAGGGCCACAGCAGGAGGAGGGAGCTGGCCAGGACTCACCGGGGAAGTGCAGGGGCTGGGGTGCAGAGTGGCCGTGCGGGTACCGCTCCCGGGCTTTCTTCACTTGCCGCTGGTAGAAGAGGTAGCCCAGCCGTGTGCGGGCATACAGGCTGTACCTGGGGACGGCAGACACCCCCAGTGTTAGCCCCCAGCCCCCCTGGGGAGAGGGCTGCTGCCTTGGCCAGGACCCTCACCGGGTCACATATAGGGGCACCCTTCCACTCGTGGCATCTCCCCATTCCTCCTCTGCCCCAGATCCGCAGCAAGGACAAAATCAGTTCTCCAAGCACAACCCCCCCCAACTGCTCTGGGGGAAAAGCATCGGTGTGGGGGTGTCCATCTGTCTGTCCATTTGTCCAGGCAGGCTCAGCTCCCCGGAAAGGGCTGTAGCCCCAGGGCTTTGCCCCCAGCAGCACTGTGGCTGCCGGGTGTCCCGGCTGTGCATCCTTCCCTGCGCCAGGCGTGGGCCATGCCCAGGGCTAACCCTGCTCTGAGTGCCTGCCCTGGGTGCCATGGCCCCAAGGAACTGGGAGGAGAACGGGCCGAGGAAAAGGGAAGCAAGAAATGCCCCCGCGGTGCAACCGGCGACGGCTAGGGGGGCTCAGGGGAACCTCCCCATTTATACAACAGATTTTCGGGGCTGAGGATGGGGACCAGTGCCACGA